TCAACTAATATTTTGAGTCATGACAACCTCAAAAGCAGCAGCCTTTAGCAAAATAATTTTGCAAGATCAAATGTCTCACTTGTTAAACTCTGTAGCTGTCTGCAATATAAACCTTTGGCCAGCAAGGGGCAGCGCAGTCACATCTGAAGATTGTCTTGCATTCTTTTCTAATAAGTGATGCACAAATGACTAAAAATTGCTTTCCTACAGAACAAACCCATCCAGTATTTCAACAGTTTCTCTAAAAAATAACCAAATATATGCTGCTATAAACTGGAATTGGATAAGAAGTCACATTAATCTACCTTTGCCGTCTTAAAGTCACTTCTTGCATCAGTAACAAATCAGCACTCCTTGAAACAAGCAATGAGACCAACGAGTCATTATTTTATTCAAAAGAGTTGCTTAAAGTTGTGTTATATGATTGTATTTCTTCTTCCTTAATCTTAGGAAGGCTTATAGGGTTCCTGACCTCCAGGTAAAAACAACTACCAATAATAAACTACTTTATCAACTATATTTGAACATATTTTTGATTTATTGTCCCATTTTGTAACCAGTTCTTTTAAATTGTTTTATCATCTATGTTGCTGATGAAACGCACTGCAACACCTTCACCTTATTTTTAGAGTCAGACATGTAACTGATTCGCTGCAGCAACTGTCTGACTTTGGAGTCTTATCAAACTCCGGCCTCACAATGAAATCTGATGCCACCACAACGTGACTCACTGCATAGGGTCCTCTGTAGAGGATACCTTTTGTATTGTACCTGTTTTTGTTCCATTTAATATGCAATGACGTTCTGAATCTATAACTAATGTAATAATAATGACTAAGTATTGAAAAGTGTGTGTTTTTTATTTCTCACCTTCAGACTATTAAACAGAAAACATCCAAGGTATACACATTTAGGTGTTTCTTTTAAATGTCCCCTATTATACTGTTTTTCATCAATATATTACAGGTCTCAGATATATACAAAACATGTCTCTGAAGTGTTTGGCTCCAAATACCAAACAGATCATTGTAGAATCCCATAATCCCCTCTGTTTCAGCCCTGTTTCAAAAGTGCTGATTCTGTGTCACGAAGCGTGCCCTGTCGCCCAAACTCAATTTGGTGTGTCGCGCACCGTCGGCCGTGACACGCCTTATTTGGCCTATCATGGCCGTGCGTCGGCCACAGGCAGTCGGACAAAGAAATCACTGATTGGCTGTTCAGCTAGCGAATCAGTGCATGAGAAACGAAACAGTTGCTTGAGAATGTCTTCCACAAGCAACACTCCAATGGCTGATAGCTCCAGTACCGCACGAAACATGTTTTCGATGGACGAGAGTGAAAATGGAACGCACACGCTATTTGTTGTTTGTCTGTTCTTCTTCTCTGTCTTCCGGTTATTGCCTCTTTTGAATGACGAATACACACTACCGCCGCCTGCTGGTAAAGAGAGTTATTACCGCTCACGCATGCGCAGTTCGTACGTGCTCGGCGAAAGTCTTTGCGGTGTGTTCCAGTGCGACGCATGGCCAAGACACAGGAGAACACGGCGACGCAACAGTCGTTAAGGGGGGGGGGGGGGGGGGGGGGGTTACCTTGGTTGGTGATTGGCTAATGGTTACACAAGCCAAAAAATCGTTATGACATCATAAAGTGGCCAAAATCTGATCAGCTCATTTTCAGACAGGTTTTTATATAAATGGATCAGGACAAAAAGAGAGGGGTCTTCGTTCCTGAAACGTTCAGAATCTCTTTACACAGAGGGGACACATGTTGATGTATAAAATACATGAAAAAGTGGATTTTGCATAATAGATGAAGCTTTAACTAACTTTGCCAAAATGAGTCTGTAGATTTATCCTAAATTGACCAAAAGTTAGTATAAGACAAGACTTATTGACATTTTAAACATAACATTTCAGGGAACTGTTAAGATAATGTACAAAATATTGTGAAACTAAATGGTTATATCCAGCGTCATATAGACCGAGAGTTATGTCATCTCCGTTCACTCCAATGGACCACTTTTTTACAGCAATGGCGGATCGTGGAGCCTCTCAATCGTTCCCCAGAAGTTAGCGCCAAGGCTAGCAGAGCTATAGAGTTGCAGCATAATAGACCATTCGTGACGGACTTTTAAAGGTAAGAAGAAGTTTAAAGATTTATATTGCGGATATTATCAGTACATCTGATTCAAATTAACATGTGTATTAAAGGATGTCAGTGGATTATCCCTAAATTAGTAGATTTAGGGAACGTTTACAGATAACAGATCAAGCTAGGATACCGAAGCAAGTTAGCAACACACGTTGAACAGCCTTTTAATTGTAAATTCCGTTCTCTTAATGTCATTTCGTCCAACGTTGTTGAATTAGAGAAGAGGGGCTTCTAAACGGGATTGTATGCGGGGGTGGAGGGAGTTAAATATTAGATAAATATAACTTTGGTGCGTGTAAGAGTGAGTGTTTTTAGCAGAGCCATATTGTGTCCTTGTGATTATGTTGATTATTACCTGTCTGTATAATGTTGCAGCTCAGCTGATTTTGGATTGATGGCAAAGGGAGAGGGACTTAAGTGAGAGTGAAAACACAAGGTAAGTTTAATACTACTGTTTTATTTAAGTAAACACCTTATCTCCCCAAGGCAATTTCCCATCCAATAGTTGTGCTATATAGGTGTGTATAACCAGGGGTGCACATAACTTTTTTGCCCTGGTTCTCAAAGTAGCACCTGGAGATGTTGCTTGGTGCTCATCCTTAAAATGAAATAAACTGTAACTTTTGAGGGGGTCTTGACTTTATTTGCCAGACACACGGCACTGAACACACATGCAGAGGTGAACACAGAACACACATGCAGAGGTGAACACAGAACACACATGCAGAGGTGAACACAGAACACACATGCAGAGGTGAACACAGAACACACATGCAGAGGTGAACACAAGACAACATTAGCACGACCAGTAATCCTACAAGCTGTCATCACTACCCTCCTGACTGTTCTCCTCACTGTCTTCCTCTCTGTCAGACATGGTAGCTGATGATGTAGGCCTACTTCTTTCTCTCTGGTTGAGTCTGTGATTAGCTGCTTGCATCCACAAGTCAACAGCTGGTTTTGGGTCGAAAGCCTCTGTTGTCATCTTAGACGAGTGGATGTAATCAAATAAGTATGTGAACATAACCAATAACCTACCATAGCCAATAACAAATTAATGTAACTTATTTTATTTTTGTTGTTCATTCATATCTTATTTTACCTTAACATTTATTTATGCATTTTTTTTTTATCTCTCCAGTTTTAAAGGATATTTTTGGTTACTGTCCTATAGTATACATTGGAATGATACTGAAACTACCATGAATTTAAGAAAATGGTAGACATTAATCTAATCTGAATTTTAAAGCATTACTTTAGATCCCCTCCCTCTAAATATATCAATAAACATTAGAAAGTGATGCTCCTGACTACCATACAAGTTTAAGAAGATAATATTGGTTTTAAAGAATTCAAAGCTATAAATAAACAGCAACAGGCTCTTTAACCAAGGCACTGTTAGCCTAACATGTAAACTAGTTGTTCACACTAATCCTAATATTATCACTTAATATTAGCAAATTCTATTTTATTTTTTAAAACATATTGATGTAAATACATACACATATCGATTTGTTGTATAAATATTGCAAATCAAAACCTTTATTCACTAATAATTACCAAAAATCGTAGTTCTATCTCCTGTTATCAATGCATTCACATTGCCCGCCATGAACTTCCGGGGAACGATCCTCGTCTACATGAACCACGTGACGATAACAGTTTTTGGACTTCCGTTGTCGTAACTCTTCTATTATATGGCGCTGGTTATATCCTCTTTACCCTATTCCCCTGTAGTGTGTTGCACAACACGATTTAAGTTTTCTTCTCAAACTCTGAGCCAGAAGTCTCCACTTCAGCAGCACGTACATACTCCTTCCAGTTTCCTTCATATTTATATCCAGGAGGTTATTCAGAGAGGGTGATGCATACATCATTCATAGTCTGATTTATAGGACATATTATCTCTAAAAAGATGGCAATATTGATATTTTTTTTATAAAAACCCTTTATAAAGCCTCTATTCAATGTTCGCTAGTTTCTCCTCTTAGGAAAGTGATCCCCCAGCCATATAATACAGTCTTATCAGTGTGTGTGTGTGTGTGTGTGTGTGTGTGTGTGTGTGTGTGTGTGTGTGTGTGTGTGGTGTGTGTGTGTGTGTGTGTGTGTGTGTGTGTGGTGTGTGTGTGTGTGTGTGTGTGTGTGTGTGTGTGTGTGTGTGTGTGTGTGTGTGTGTGTGTGTGTGTGTGTATTTGTCAGGTTAACTGAGGTCTCTATGAATGGAGTACGTTCTGAAATAGGATCAGAGCCTCAGATTCATCTTAGGTGAACCGAGTGAGCTCAACACTAAACACAAATCGTCAAAGCCTTAATGAGGAAATCATAATCAACACAATGCATTGCAATAAATTAACCTCTGAAAAAAGCTTTTTGGGGGCATTTCAGGAGCTCAAACTTTCAAACAACAAAGCTGACTAAACAAACAGCTACAGTCAATTAATGTATTTAAGTGTCTATGATTGTAAAGTGTAATGAAGCACAGAAAAACAGTACTTTCTCAAGATATAAAACTTTCATCACAGGTTGTCTTGCTTCTGTTTTTAAAATGTTGGTTTCAGAATACAGAATATTTCTCAGGATCAGATCCCATACACACAAAAAGTCTGATCCCCATTCAGCTTTGTGATCATAAACTCTGGGAGTGTCCCGCCCCCGAATGGGAAAACTGCCAAGATTCCTTTTTTTCTTTTTTTTTTATTATCATCCAGTTCCTCCAGTAGTGTTTCCCCTCATCCGATAGCTGCCTTGAACCTGCTCACCCTGAGCGCCTGGCAGGCCCCACAGCAGAATGCCATTCAAACAAAACACACACACACACACACTAAATGTACAGTACATTAAAGCAG